AATCCTGGAGTGAACTGTGAGAGTTGGGAGATACTTCATTTCAGTCTTTCCACTGGTCAGAGCAGGATTCTGACCCTTGATGACATTTTCCAGTCATGGGATTTGCCTAACTTCAGGGAGGGATACAACCTTGGTAAAGTCATCTTTTTATCTCAGGAAACTCCTGGAAAGGAATTGTAGCTAAGGACCGTCTGCTGGGGCCTCTGTGTGGTTGAGCAAGTTTGTCTACTTCTCATGAGGGAGGCCTGAAGGGCACATCACAACCACTGCAGACAGTAAAATGTGTAGTGCGCACCCTGATCCTTAGGTAAAACTGTCCAGGCTACACAAAGCGAGTGGTGTGGTGGGCAGAGGGTCTGTCCAGGTTTGCCACCTTTGTTCGAAGATGAGGGTCACTTATTCCTCAGGCAATAGAGAGGAACTTGAAGGTGCTGAGCAGGAGGAAATAGGACAAGATTTGCATGTTTAAAATATTGTTGTAAAACTCTAGATTGAAGATCAGAGACTAGATACTAAGGAAGTAGTGAACATACAGTTTATGCACAAATTCTGCAGATGGTCCATGTGCAGTATATGCACACACTCACTATATCCTTAAGTCTTTTCTAAATGCTCCTAGAGGTATTCAGATACAATGAAATCCACAGATTTTTCTGTTTCATTTATTGAGATGTTGATCTGAGGAAAGGATTGCCACCAGTTATTATTAATACAGTTTTACTGAGATACAGCCGCACTTGCATTATGTACTGTCTATGACTGCTTTATGTAAGGACAAAATTTAGTAGTTCCCACAGAGGTGGCCTGAAACACAGAAAACATTCACTGTCTTTTACAGAAAACAATTCTGCCTTTTCCTGTGAAGTCCGCCTTTTATAGTTAAATGACATTGGCTGACCTTTCACTGAGTTTGCTGGTTTCAAATATTGTCATTTTAGGGGTGATAGGAGGAACTCACTGCACTATTCTGTGCCCCACACCCTGCCCTTTGTTCTACTGTAGTCAAACATTCTACCTCCTCATCTGCGAGAAGCCTTCTACTTAAGGATTACTCTTGTTCTTATAAAAATTTTGAAATGTAAAAGCATGGACAAATATTTTATATTTACTGACAGACCAATGATGTTCAGTGCTCACGGAGATAGGAGTTTCAGTATGGTGAAATTTCCCTGATGGTGAAAAACTTTCTTATTATACACGCATAGGGATAATTAATTCTCTATTTTGTCTTAAATATTTCTATGCTGCTTTTATTTCTAAAGGATATTTTTGCTGGATATAGAATTCTGTTTTGAAGTCTTTCTTTTTCTTTCCTTTTCTTCATGTCAGCCTATTTGGTTCCTTTGTTTTGTGGCTTTCGTGGATTCTACCTGGAAATTACTGCTAACAATATTACATTTTTTCTTAGTAAATGATTATGTAGAGAATTGGTGTGTTTTTCTTTGTGTTTATCTGGGTTAAAATTCAACATAATTTTCAAATATTCGTGTTAATAAATTTCAAACCTTATTTCTGTGTGTGTGTTTGTGTGTGTGTGTGTGTGTGTAAATTTTACAAAAAAAAAAGAAAAAAATCTTTAAAAAACTTTCTTTAAAAAATTAAGGAGATGGGGATTTAGCTCAGTGGTTCTGGGGCCTGCCTTGTAAGTGCACACCGACCTGAGTTTGATCCCTGATACAAAAAAGAAAAAAGAAAAATTTTTTTAAAAACTTTCTGTAAATTTCAACCATTATTTTTATATTTAGATATATAAAATATATGGTTACATATGAATATATATACCCATCTATTTGATACATATCTGTCTAAATTCTATCTCAAGATCTACCGTCTCTGATTTTCCTATTCCATTTATGTGATTGATAGTTAAGGCATTTCTTGTCCCATGAAGTACTGGATGGATATTCATTTGCTACATGCTTTTTTACAAACTCTGAGTTTCAGTTTAGATGTCTTCTGTGGCTTATGTTGTAACCTACCAATATTTTCTTCTCAGTGTCTGTTTTTCTACTGTTTACTATTATAGCAAATATCTAAAGTAACTTATGAGAAGAAAAGGCTTGTTTCAGCTCGTGGTTTTATCATTTCAGTCCTTGATATGTTGCCCTCCTTGTTATGGGCCTGGGGCAGCGCATCAAGACAGGAAAATGTAATAGAGCAAAGCTACTCGCATCATGTTGCTGAGGAGGTAAAGAGAAACAGGAAGTTGCTGGGGTCCCACTATCCCCTTTAAGGGAACACCATCAGGGAGTGGAAGACTTCCTGTTAAGCCTCACCTCATAATGTTCACTACCACTCAGTGACACAGGCTGAAGACCAGGCCCCTAACACATAAGCACTGGGGGACATTATGATCCAAACAAAGCAGGGTCTAACCTATAAAGTCGACCCAGTAAACCTTTTATTTTAGATATAATTTCATGTTTGAAAGTTTCCACTTTAATTTTATTTTGTTTCTTTTGTTCAATAAAATTTTGCATCTGTTCTTCAATATTTTTGTTTAAATGGTAGACCTACTTTATAATCACTGTTTCAATTCTTTTTCTGATAATTTTCACATCTCTGTTATCTGGGGGTTCATTTACATAGCTTGATTTTTCTTTCATTGTGAACCATATTTTCCCATCTCCATAAGAGTTAAGTTTTTCTCTTGTTACTTTTAAAAATTTTATACTGGACATTATGGATTCAGTGTCTTTCAATTTCTAAACTTTCATGGACTTGCTTGATGAAGTATTGAATTTTGTTTGAGAAAAGTTAAATTGTGTGATAGATTTAACTTAGTAACTTTTGTCCAAGTGTTTCCAGAGTAGATCTTACTCTAGGACTAATTACCCCTGCATCTAGGGCATCACTTTTCTGAGATGTCTATTGAAAGACAGGAATTGTTCAATAAGGCTTCTAAGTCTTTTTGTTTGTTTGTTTGTTTTTTGAGACAGGGTCATACTATGCAGTTGAGACTGACCTGGAACTCACTATGTAGCCCAGGCTGGTCTCAAACTCACAGCGATCCTCCTACCTCAGCCTCCCGAATGCTGGGATTACAGGTGTGTGCCACCATGCCAGGCTAGGGCTTCTCATTCTTATCTAGTCTGACATCAACTTCTCTTAGCCCAATACAACTGCTGGCTGTTGTTCATTTGCGAACTCCCATTATCTAGACTTGTGAAGTCTTGGTCTACACATGTACAGCATTACAATGATCCAGACTGTACACTCCACAGACTTCTCTGATTCCTAAGGAGGGCTCCAGAGTTGTTTCTCTACTCTGTCCCTTCTCTGGGATTGTCTTCTACAGTTCCCAGACTTCTCACTAAATTCAAGTTCTGATCTGTCTCCACCTCAGGGATACTGTTCTACTCTGTGAAATTCCACATGGCATGATCAAGAAGAAAACCATAACAAAAGGCAGGGCCCTGGCAGGACTTGCCTCATTTCATTTACTTCTGGGGATCACGTTCCTGCTCTGCCTGTTGTCTAACCTCTAAAATCAGAAATTTCATGTACCAATGTATTAGTTTTATAATTGTTTAGATAGCTATTCTATTGTAACTGGAAGTAAAACTAAGTCACAGCTGTCAGTTATTCTCATCACAAGGACACAGGTTAAGGTAGGAGAGGGTTATTGTGGCTCACAATTTCAGTTCATGATTGGCAGTTCCCAGGCAGTGACAGGATGGCAGAGGAATTTGGTAGAGGAGAAGGTACTCAACCCATGGCAGCCAAGAAGCAGAGAGACAAGGGAGGAGCCAATGCAGAATATACCCCCCAGGGCACACCTCTAGTGACCACCTTCAACCAGACCACCCCTGCTAACAGCACTTTCAGCTCTGAACTTGTCAGTCAGTCCATTGCTGAACATGACATTTCACATGATCTACTCACCGTCCCCACATATGAGAATTTGGGGGATATTTTAGATCTAAACAAAACACATACTCCTGCCTCCTTAGCACAGTAGACAGTGTGTCACTCTCATAAACAAAATATATATAAACACTGTTAAGTACATGAGATACCCATGATGAGTGACAAAATGATGTTTGTAATGAGATCCTTAAAAGAATAAATTATTTTATTGGTTTTTAAATCCCTTGGTATAAAATATGGTACATATATATCAATATACTGCACATTGGATAATTTATTAAATATTCTTCTATAATTTCTTTTCACTAGTACTAAATCCACCCCCAAAATTTTAGTACTCCTTAGCACTATGCATTTTCCCATATTTTTGTCACTTCTTTGTATGCAGCCATAGTTAAATATTACTAAAAATAGCTATTTTTATTCTTTTAGTGCCATTTGTCTAGTAAGTATTTGTACATTCTTACTATTTGTAGTCAAATATAAAATTTTACCAAAAGTTATATTTGTTTAATAATTCAAATTATATTGCAAGAAATATGGTGATTAAGATAAAATGACTTGTATCACAAAGTGATACATACTGTCTGATAGTCTATATATCTTACCTCCTAAGAGTTCAGGGGTTTAATGTAAGATTAGGCCTCATTTTAAGAACTATAATACTAATACTTTTGAACTTTGAACTTTTTAAAGGTGAAATATACTTGAGTTTAGCTTTTTTTTCCATTTGTAATTTACTAAAAGATAAAACCTTACACGAAGTAAGATTTAGATAGTTACATATTTTTTTCTGGTGATTTTAGCCAAAGAGTTCATGGTAAATTGATCAACCCTCAGCCAATTAGACTTTGACATGTACTAATAAGATCTAATTGAGGAATTATGGAGACATTTGCTCAGGAGAAAATGAGCACATAATTACACCATAAAGAGGTTAAAGAATCAATGTTACCCAGCTGGAAGAATATTAGTTGAAGTCTCAATGGCATCTCTAAAGGACACTTCATAACACAGCCCTGAAATACAGCACTGACAAGCCCAATTAAGGTATGCAAAATAATCTGTTTTCAAATGCAGAAGTTCAGCTTACATATTCATTTCCCCCCTCTTTCCTGTGCCCTCTTCAGGTGCTGGGGGATGGTCTCCATCAGACAGCGACCATTATCAATGGCTGCAGGTCGACTTTGGCAATCGAAAGCAGATCAGTGCCATTGGAACCCAAGGGAGATACAGCAGCTCAGACTGGGTGACCCAATACCGCATGCTGTACAGTGACACGGGGAGGAACTGGAAACCCTACCACCAGGATGGGAATATCTGGGTAAGTCACTGTCAGAAGTACAATGACACAGAATCGAGTTGCAAATATTTGGAAGTGGTAGAGGACTCACATGTTAAAATACTACCAGTCTTCATCCTCTGAGCTACATATAGTTGTCAAGATTTATCTATTAAAACTACTAAGAAATAATTTTATTTTCTTTCTTTTTTTTTTTTTTTTTTTTGAGGCAGCAATTTCTGCTCAGTAGGGCAATAGGTCCCAACCTAGGTTAAGCATTTAAATTACCTAAAGAAATTCTGAAGTATACACATGCTAGTTGCACCCAGACCAATGAAATAAGAATCTTGGCAGTAGAAGGTATGATTAGGGGCCAGGGATTTAGCTCAGTGGTTATGTGCCTACCTTGCTAGCACAAGGTCCTGAGTTCGATCCCTGGAACTGAGAAGAAAAGAAAACATGATGCTGATAACTTTGTTGAAGAAAGAAATCTTCAGTTGAAATAAAACATTAAAATTGGAGGAAAATAGAAAAGTAGGAGCAGTGATATGTGGTTAGAGAATAATATTTACACCTTAGAACAGCATTTGAAAGTAATTTTACAGATGTATATTTACTTAGTATTTTACTGTTGGAGAAGAACATAAAATTTTATCCATGTAATCTTAAAATGTCTCAATTAAATTGGAAATTTGGAATATTGACACCATTAATAAGCTAATGTGAATACATTACTTAATGCTAAATTTTAAGGCATTTATTTTAGTGTAACTACTTTTACAAATAGTTCTGACCAAAGTCAGGTAAAGTCATAAATATTAAAAAGAAACAGGAAGATAAGGTGGTGACAGTGGTGAAGAGGAAGGAGAGAGGAGAGGAAGAGAAGGTGGAAGAAGGGGAGGAGGAGGAAGTAGAGGAAAAAGAGCAGGAGAAGAAATAGTTGATTTTTAAAATTCTGTGTTAGGGAGAGTATTGTATATTTTCTGCGAGATCAGGGCTCACCTTGTGAGTTTATATTTTAAAAGCACTTAAGTAATGTTCCTCTTGCTCGAGTTTAGAAACCCTAGCTTGTGTGTTCATTTCCACAGCAGTATCTAATGATAGCAACTATCGTGTGAAACAAGGATATAATGCCTGGGTAATCAAATGTGTCTGCCCAAGTAATCCTTTAGAAATAACTCCTTTTAAGACATAATTGCATATTAAGAATATTTATACATCAGAATGTATAATGTATAGGAAGCAAATAGCAGGAGAAATACCTTTTTATGGAAAATCATCATTTCATAATAAAGATAATTTGAAGGTCCAGGCATCATTTATAGAAAAGTGATTCTTAACCCTGACTAAACAACAGACTCACACACAGAGCTCTAAAACACATGAATACTTAGAGCTTGACCCAGATTTGGATTTAATTGCTCACAGGTAAGGGAGCATTGTGATTTTTTAAAGCTCTCCAAGTGACATGTCCTTCATTGAGAACATAGTTTACATTTGTTCCAGTGTGCAGTGATGGTGTGGGTGAAGGAAGCTTATAGAGAAAATAATTGCAGGAGAGGAAGCTAGAACTGACTTGCCCTGATGTCCAGGAGGCGGGGGAGGGGGCAGAGCAAGTGATCAGCCCACCGAATAATAGACCGACCAAAAGTAAATAATTAAAGAGTTGATGACACGTGCTTCTAATGAAGCACTCACTATTTCCTAACTTTCTGTAGCTTCTCTCCAAAAATCATATTAGCATTTTATAAAACAAGTTAGACTCTAAACTCCATTTTTCAATATGTATATTTATTAAGTGTTCACTTCAAATGTAAGATGGTGTTTCAACTCTCTCCTATCTGGCTTTGCTGAGACCATATAAAGATGGCTGCTGAACTGCTGCCGTATTGGAAGCTTAATTTACTTTTCAGGTCTAATTTAATTTACTTAGCAGGTAAGGATAGTCAACATCATGTTGTGATGGAATGAAGAGATCAAAGTTAATAAACCTAGAGAGAGTAAATTATCCAGGATGCCTTGGACTAGTCTGGTAATATCTAAAATACCAATTCTTGGTCAGGGAGAAAAGGGCTTCTTGAAATGGAAATATTATGAAGGGAAGGTAGATTGGGTCTATATGCAGGACTCTCAACCTTTTCAGATGATGAGGAGGAGTGTTTCTATTTTCCTCTACCTGTCTGGTGTTCCTTTTATTTCTTTTTTAAATCCTGTGCTTCTCAATAAAATTATTGTGCTGTATATTGAGTGATTAGAGAGGACCCTTGACTTATAAACTCAATTCATTGCTGAGGTCTGGTTGTAACGTGCATTGGTCAGTTGAAGGCTCAGGCTCCTCTACACAGCCTTCAGAGTCTCTCTGCTATGTACAGGCAGATCTCAGGGTCCTAGACATTCATTGACCAAGGATTTTTCAATTAATCCCACACAGGAAAGGATGTTGTGATGTTCCCTCCAGGATTTTTCAGGGCTAAGTCTGAGGCCATCTGGCAGCATAAGAGGCCAGCATTCAGGTCATAACTCAAGACTTTGGTTGTCAGTTAAAACTAAAATTCCAGTCATAATCCAAGTTGTTCGTTTGCCAGGCTGGTCATAACTTGAAGTTCCATTGTATTTCTAGAAGAAACTATAAAGAGATAATTATGAAATTATAAAAAGCAAAACAAATTTAAGATACAATATAAATATTGCAAGATGTATTTAAGTCCCACTGAGCCTGCCACATAATGACTGTATTTTAATATCTATGACAGAAATTCTTTAATCTTTACTCATATGAAAAATAGTCCATTGCTTTGATGTATTTTAAAAGAGCTAAAGATCATTGACTTATAAAAATACTTAAATACTTTAGAGCTTATGCCTTAACAAGCATTAAGTGATTAAAATTTAGTATTTACGGTATCAACAAAAACACGTTTTAGGCTTGTTTACTAAAATGACAACTAAATTTTAGATTTTCTTTAAGCTATTATTAACATCATACAAATTGGATTTACAAGAACTTTTGACATACACAATGTTGGATGACTTTTTGATAGATGCTACCTTATAAAATGAAAAGTTTCAAGCAGTCAAAAAATTAAAAAGTGGATGTAGTTTTAAGATTGCCTTTCTACTCATTTCTATAATGATTAATTATCCAGGAAGAATGGCAGACAATATAAATTCATTCACTTAAATATTATTTTTAACAAATGTCATTGCTTCTCATTTCTTTAATTGTTGGGAAAATGGGTGATGTGAGTAATTTTATCACATTATTCTTAAATGTCCACATGGATACTGAGTTATTTCTTTACCATAAATAGATATTACATTAAAGTAAGCAAAGAAAAAACCATATAGGTGATAATGAAAATAAGCAAAGAAAAAAGTCATGTACATGAGAATTACAACATTTTTCAAGATTTTAAAGTGATGAATCTTATATTGTGGAATTATAATGGCTCTTGAAAAGATTTCTAAAGCATAGTTTATCTGAATATTTAATATGCAAAGACATGAAATGTTAAATGTGCTTTACTAGCCAAACCTTCTAATCCTGCTTGATAATACTGAATGTAATAGAATCCTGTATACTTTATTGACAATGCCATTTCCTTCTACTTAGAATTTCCTTTCCAATGAAAAAGAAAATCATATGCAAATTGGTAAAATTGTCCTCCCAAATCATTGCATTTACATATTCTACAAGCTCTAATCTGCATATTTCTCTGCAGTTTTTTTAGGTTTCCTAAGTATAATCTGTTGAAGAGAGAGAAATTATACTATATAAGCATTTCTTATCAAAAATCTATTAAACATTACATTTTTTAAAATTCCAGCAGATTTTTGCTAAGAGGTTGCCTTCAATTTTGCTTGGCAAATTCAATTACTGGTGTTGGAATGTAGATATTTGCAACCAAATTGAAGTATTAATAGTGAACAATTTACTTATACACCATAACTCTTTGTTGGATACATACTAAAAACTCACATGTACTGTATATGGACATAGTTATTTTTATTTAAAAATTTTTTCTCCATCATGAGAAAATGCTTACATGTTTCTAATTTTTTAAAGAGTTTTGATTCTTGTGGTGAATGGTAAGTAGATATCAGACTGGAATTAGTCTCTGCCATATCTATTCAATGGAGAGTCCTACAAAGCAGAAATATTAAAAAATATTTAAATTATATGGTTAGTTGCTTATGAATAAATGGTTATGTGTATATTCACATTTTAAAAACCATTTTAGAGTATTCATTTGCAAGAACAGTTAAAAATCTGGGTCTTTGTTAGCCGGACATGGTTGCATACGCCTGTGATCCCAGCACTCGGGAGGCTGAGGCAGGAGGATCACTGTGAGTTCGAGACTAGCCTGGGCTACAAATATGCTTTACACACACACACACACACACACACACATACACACACACACACACACACCAAAAAGCTTACTTTTACAAATTTGAAATTTTTCAGAAATCTGGAAATCATAGTAACTGGTTAAGTACTCTGATTTTTTAATATCATATTAATTGGTAAAGTACATTTGTTTGTTTACTTACTTTTATATGTACTGAGGATGGTACCCAGGGCCTTCACACTGAGTTACATCTCCAGGCCTGCCTTTTCTTGATTTTTATTTGGAGACATATCTATGCTGAGTCCTTAAATTGCCCATATCGGGGTTAATCTTCTACCCCTTAGCTTTTGCCTCTCACATACTGGGGTTTCAGGCAGACATGGCTTGCATTCTTTATTTTTAAATCAATGTACCATAGGTACATATTTATATAATAAATATAATATATATATATATATCACTCTATAATAAATATAATATATATTATATCATATATAATATGATATAATATAATAGTTTAGTTCCCAAACTATCCTAGGCTACATTTAGTTGTTTGGCACATGAAAGTCAAAATGCAATCAAAAGGTCTAGATTTTTTTGTCTAGGTTCATATATTTTGTTTATTAAATTTGTAATCAAGACCTGCTTCTCTGGGCCATGAAATTCCTAACTTGAACAGTGGGAATAACA